GGTTCAATCCTTATAAAAGTTTGCTCTAGATAACTTTTGAATTGTTCAATCGGTTACCTTAAGACGCGACATCGACAACGGAGGGCAGGTCGCTAAAAAAAAACTGAGAATAAATATAAATAAAACGTAAAACTATGTAAAAAATCTTAAGTCCCCCCGTGCGAAGCCGGGACGGGCCGCTAGTATACCTATATTAAAGATAGAGAAGATACTGAGTCAATTATGAGCAAGTTTGCAAAACTGCTACATTTTTTGAATACTTAAAGTGTGAATACCATATCTCAAGTTTAATAAGTCAAATACATATGCCGAAAGTGTACGTATATACTTTAGTAAACGTTGTACGTCACGTTACATTTTCTCGTAACTAAAAAAAAGGTTTCATATGGATAACAAGTAGATATATTAACTGGAGATTACGACCTGCCAAACTTCTTTTTTTAAGATGTTTGTAACACTTTAACTGCCACTTAGGTCACTGTGACCGGAGTTAACGGAGGATTTGCCTTCAACAGTTTTCTGATGGCATCAAACGCTTCGTATGGAATGTATTAAAGAATACCGTCAAGTGGGCCGTGACGTTAAAACTAATTTCTAGTTTAATTCAATCAAGGGGAAAGTACCATTTTCAATCATCTGGGTCTCTTCAAGGTTCGAGTGAATAGACCGCATCATTGCTTAACCACCAGGCGAGATAGTGGTCAAACGTCTGCCCATCAAATATATGTATAGTTATTATAAAATAAATGTACAATAATAGCCTTTGAAGACACAAAATTGTAAAAGCGTATTACCCTTTGATCTTCCCAACGTTCTGTATGTAGAATATTGTCGCAGAATGTTTACGTAAAGCTGTATATTTATAGTACGTTTAGTAACAATTTCGTTTTAAAAATTATTTATTTTATTAGGAGTCGTGATTCTCAGCGGCCCTGGAATTTTGATAAAGCTATCAAAGTGACTAAATTGAGTTACAAATTGTGCCTAAACAACATTTTGTCGCCTGTCTATGTTAATACTAGGGTGTTGGGATGTTCCTAAATCTGTGTTGTTCTTTTGATGTAGGTAAAATATATTTTTGTGTTTAAATAAGTCGAGTAAAACTGATCTATTCTACGTTTTGGAATATTAAATAGAGACTGATTGACAAATTTTTGAAAAGTAGTTATTTTTGTTTATGATATAAGCCGGTAAACTAGCAGACGGGTCACCTCATGCATATCCGGCCTTTTGGGGACCAGAAATTTGAGAATTGGTGAAGGAGGAGGGGTAATTGGGCATTCCCGGTTCAATAACCTCACTCACACGACGAAACACAACGCAAGCGTTAGATGTGGTTTTCTGCGAGGCCGTGGTATCACTTGGGTTGAGCCGGTCCATTCGTGCCAAAGCATGGCTCTCCCACACTTTATTATATGGGATAGTAAATTTTAGTTTCTATCTACTATTTTCAGTTATACTACTACTACTACCGGTGTTGTGTTTACGATGCATTCCAACAGATACAAATCACATGTAACAGCAATAAAAAGGCAGCCGAAATATAAATTTGATGTGGTCATAAACTGTCATAAATGTGAACCGATATCAGGTGTTTTTATTGTCTCCATTAAAAAGAACTGAGCAGATTTGTATTAAAATATTAAAGCTTAAGATTTTATTACTGGAACTGGTTCCAAGATTAAGAAATATTGTTGTGTATGCCAAGAATTTGTATCACAGGCATCGATTTATCAGAAACCACTGAAATGGGGATGATGACAGGGTATGAAAATTAAAAATATAATTAGTCCGTAAGTTAGGTAATGAAAAAATATTAGACACGTATTTTTTTATTTTGTTGTATAATAAAACAATACTTAGATAAAACGAATCAAAGTTTAGGAGTGGGGGCTAAAACGTCATTTCTTAGTATAAAATGTACTGAGAAGTGACGTCACGCGACATTTCAAATCAATATATCTTCGAAACTATTCGTTTCTGTGAGAAAATAAAAAATACGTGTCTAATGTTTTTAAATAATCTATCAGACGGACATTAAAATAAAAATTAGTCGTCTACCCTATTCCATCACAGTGGGTCACAAATACACTCTTACTTATTTTGATTCCTGGTGCATAAATACTAATACTAGCTCAGCTAGTCGTTCATGACCTACAAATTAGACTACCCAAAGCATTTGTTGATACAAGTTGCATATTAAAATATCATTATAATTATTCTCAAGTAGTCAAGCAATTCGGTTAAGATAAAACTTTAATGAAATGACTTCATTACGTAAGTAAACGTGACATTAAAAATTCCGTCGTGGCTTGGTATTTTTATCTTGATCTAATTTAATTCTTTGGATGCCTTGGACTGGAAATGTGAGGGTGTAATGGAGTTCTGGAGTCGCTGGCGTCGCTCCGGTCAGAGGTCGCAAATACTCACAATATTTTATGTAAATCGTCTCCACTAACTTTCGTCAAAGTAATAACAAGGACGACTAAACATTCATAAGTTATGTACCAACGTATCAAAAAGAGATAGCAAGAGGACTGAAAGTTGTTTTGTTTTGATTTCCTATAAGAACTAGTAGGTTAGTAGTCCACGAAGATAAATAGTTGTAGATACTAGAGGTACATAAAAGTTAAGTTAAAACGAATATAAGTAGACGAAAATAGTTTCTATTTTCCTGTAAACATGCGAGTTTTGTTTTCATTACAGAACTCATTTGTGAGGGAAATAAAGCAAATATTTTGTACATGAAAAAGAATTTGTGTCAATTTCCGTGAATCTGCATTCTGTTGGACATATTCAACTTTGCATGTAAACTTTAATTAAAAGTAATTTCATGTTGGGTGCATCAAAATGCTGGAAATACCTATTTCAAAAATCTTTTTAACGAATTTCTGTGCAAATGAAGTTTCACGAACAAGGTAACACAGCGGTTTACATTGCACGTCAATTAAATTCACGAAACGTAAATTGAATCGATACCTACTTTTACTTTAACCAAATATATTACGCAGTACTTACGAATAATTCAATGTCATTAATAATAAATCATCATGAGTTTCCAAAATTAATTCGCATGTGTGGGTATGTGTCCTGGTATAAATTCGGAGTAGCACGGTTCCCCTTTCCTGAACACAGAAGAGCATTCGGAACAGAATTTTACACGTTTATTTAAGTTATTGTTTTAAGTAGATACTACTACTACTACTATAGACTATAGTATATGTCAGTCCATTTGGCGTCAGAATAAAAAAATTCTGGGCCTTAGACACACGCGACCATGCTACACAGCTGTTCATGGGAAAAGCAGGCGTCTGCAGGTGTCCCCTGCTGGTAACGTCGTTAGTAACAAAAAGTCTATGTGCCGATTTTAACTTCTTGCCTTGATGAAAACTGCGAAAAGTCCCAAATATATTTTCACGCCCTCTTTAAGGGGTTGGGTGCAGATTCCAAAAAAATATTATGAGCGATATTTTGGTAGTCATAAATAGTCAGCATACTAATGTTTAGCTTTCTACCTTCAAAGTTGCCGAACGCTCCATACAAACTTCTAACCCCCATTTTAGGAAAGTGGGGGGTTAGAAAGGGGCAAAAAGTATCCTATGTTACTCTCCATCCCTTCAACTATCTCCACTTAAAAAATCACTTGAATTCGTCGCTTCGTTTTGCCGTGAAAGAAAGACAAACATGCAGACAGATCCACTCTCCCATTTATAATATTAGTATGGATTATTTTAGTTACTATTGTGCTCGTTTTTGACAATTTGATACTTATTTCGTGACATCGTGACAATCTTTGGGAAGTAGGAACATTATGGCGCTCTACTGCGCAATTTCCTAAAGACGGAAAAATAGACCACGCGACCGAGTATAGAAGGAAGTCGAGAAAACTTAATAGTTTCTTCAATTCAGTTTTAAAGTACCTACATATTGACTTTGCTTAGAGTCTTATTACTTACATCATAGGTTTCATAATCATGAAAAAAATAGTTCGTATTTGTTACTAAAACAAAATCTGAATGTGACTACCTAAGTCACTAGAACGAGTTTTTTATACATAAGTACCTATATCGTAAGTAAATAGAGTATATCTGGTTTTAAAGGAGTTAAATAAAGATTACGGACTTAGAAAAAAGAGTATCGTTTATTTTGTACTTTTAAAAAGGTAATTTCTTTTGTATTTTTTGCAGCATATAACAATTGTTCATTATTTTAAACGAATAAGAGTAATAATAAGAATTAAGACGAAACGAAACAGAGCTTCATCTTATCAAATCAGAGTTCTATATGAACACATCAAATTCGATGAAGCTCTGTTTATCTCTTCTCGCCACTTTACATTCATGACCGAAAAGACTCTTTCAGTTAAAGCTACTGATGTGCTACTGCTGCTGAAATGTTTGGGGAATCGACGATACGAACATAAATGAATAGTAAATTGTAGACTTTTTCATTCTGATCATGGGGTTTTGAAATTGTTTCAGACTGGCACTAGTTAAGTAAAAATTGTCCAAAAGGAGTGTCTATTTTAGCGTAATCTATTAGAGTTATAGATTATAGAGTAGGCCTACATGACATAGAGGACAATACTCTATTTTAGAGTACGGTTGGCAACCCTAGCGAAGGGGGTGAGTATATGTGTATTAGGGTGAATAGATTGCGGCACGTAATAATGTCACTGTACAATATGCATCCATTTTACACCATTTATGTTACAGGTCCCATGTAGGAAGTGACTCTATTGCCATACACCGTGTAGCATTCCAGATACTGTGCTACTACCGATATTCTATTTTTTTAAACCATTTTTATTTCTTTGCGTGACCCGAGATACAAACCTGCGACTTCTTGCCTAGCAGTTACATTTGCGATTACTCGACCAACGCCCCTTACCAATGACCGTCATCGATCAACGAGTGCACTTTATGTTAATACATAATGTATTGTCTGTAGTTAATTCCAGAAGTGTCTATTTTACGACTAATAGATATCTATTGTTGCAGGTTACATTGGCGACGTGGTGCGGTCGTGGCGGGCCTCGCATGGGGAGGACGTACAGCGCACTGCTAGCGTCACAGCGACTGCGCGCTGGCGGGGCCGGCGCGTGCGCCAGTGTCCGGGGCACCCGCCGCCTGCGCAGGCTCTCCACTGCCACCACACAACTATATGATGCGCCACCCCGAGCGCAGGTGAGGTCAGGCCCACAAACAAATACTAAATGGGAACAGTGGGCGACGGTAACTAACGCTTTACTAACATTAATTAGTAAAATTCATTACCATATTGATCTAATCTTTAACAAACATCTAAATATGAATGCATATGTTATCTGACATCAAATCAAATGGTCATTTTATTGATTATATTATAATTGAATGTGATAGCGATCTAATCAGTGCGTCATCTAATTTACGTACCTACCTATTAAAATATGCGTATATATGAATCGTATCAAATATGATAAATGTTGATTTTTATAAGATTTATTTCAAATTTCTTAACAAATTATATAGACAACCTTATTAATATTACACACAGAATAAAAAAAACGAGGACCACCTTCAATTAATTCAATGCACGGGTCAAAACTTCAATGTCACCGCTTTAATTACAAGCGGTTGCTTGAATAAAGATATAAATAAATATCAAGTCGCAACTAATATAGAAATATTAAAATCACTTGTCACATAACTATGTGGTGTAATCTTAATAATCATTATATTAATGTTATCGTTTTAATCTGTTCTATGGGGTCCTTGAACTTTATGGCTCGCGATAAATAGACACGTTCTTTAAATTAGTCGTGTAGTGCGTTGAAGTCAGGTGAATAAAATAGTGAATTAGAGGTATTTCTGGACTTTGGACTTAACAACATTCCGCACTTATGTCTCCAATTCTAGGTAAAGATATCCAATTGGTACTGTTTGTTTAAAGTTCAAACGTCATCTTTTATTGCCTTATACTTTTTTTTTGAGGGGGGAAAATCATCCAGGCGGGAGGGAGTGTCTGACTCTTACTGACTAAGAACCACCCTGTTCCTACTCCTGCACTTCGAGCCGGAGCCTCGGCAACCCGTTAAGTCTTCCGCAGCTCCGTATCGGCATCAGCCCTGTTAGGCCCCATCTGTGGTGGTCTGATGGCTCCTTGAGGCGCGCGCGGCGCGCGACGCGCAGCGCCGTACGCTCGGGCCTGGTTCTGGTCGGGCGGCGAGTCACCCATGCTCGTCGTCCACAGGCCCTTTTACTGAGTAGGGTAGCTTGCCTTATAATGAGTAGGGATTCAGAGTACAGAATAAAATTGACAGTTTTTAAATCAAATACCTAATATCACATTGATTTGTGATTCAAATTAAAGAACAAATCGTACTTAGTTTTAAATGTAGGTATACATTTTAATTTACATTTAAACTTTCGACAATCTAAAAAATAAATTCTAAATTTTGACAATAATGTCACTTTAAAGTCGAGCTCGGATAATAAAGAGTGCTTGAATAATAATTATATTGCATACAAAAGACCATCTTCAAAATTCCAAAGGCGAATGATATGGACATGGACACACAGGGAAATGATATTATTGTCCAATATGAATATCAAGTTGATTCATATTTTATGCATTATTTAAAAATAATGTGGCTTGTGATCATACTTACTTAGATACTAACTTAATTTAATTTAGCAATTAATTTTTAGTTTTATAAGAAATGTTATTGTACTTGAATATTTCAGCACATTTTTAACCTGAAACACAGGCTTGTACTTAGTTCAGGTTTTATATAAATTTAGACTTTGTTTAGGTAATAAGATTTATTTTGTAATCTTAATATACTCCAAAGTCTCAGATCTGTCGATCTGTCGATCTGTCGAACCCCTTTTGTTAGCTTTTTATTCAGATACGCAGACAATTCGTTATTTTACGTATTTACGAACAGTATTTTTATCTGTCATAAGAAGTTTTTTTAATTCTTTTCATATAGGGTCTAAATGGTTTTCATATATTGTCCCTTCTGGTTAAATACTGTTTAGTTAGGTTTTCAAAAAATATATCATTAGGTACCATTCTTAGATTTTCAGGATAGTTGATAGTTTAAAAAAAAAAATTTAGTTAAAGTAGTTTTTTGCTGCATCATATAAAGAGAATTGATTCTTACTCCGTAAGGTTCACGTGTAAAATGGCATAGGTACATTACTTGAGCTAACCCACCTGCCTGTAGACATATCATTTGTGATTACCAATTGTTTATCTATACAACGGGATTGAATGAACCACGGTACACTAATGGATTGGGTCATCTAAACAAGAGCGAAGGATCCAAAATGCTAGCTAATGATGTTTAGACGAGGTAATACGTAATAGCGAGGTGTGTGTATTATCTATTTGTTTAATGAATCGTTTGACAATCAATTAGATTGCTCGTAGTTTCTGGCTTTCGTCCAAATATCGTGTAAACAAAGTTTCAATGCAAGAAGATGTTCATTTGATAGTAATTTTGAAATAAGAGTAAAAATGAATTTGTACATAAACCATGTCTCTATGTTTTTTTAAACAGAATGATTAGGAAGATTATTGTTATGGTAATGAACACTGGTATGTAGTAGTAAACAAGTAAAAAAAACTGAACTAAAGACCTAAACAGAAGGCTATTTACACATCCAATAAAATAATTGAAACATGTGTAATGTGACCTTAGCAGGTGTCATATTATTAATGTCGTTTAACGTATTACCTCTACTTCATCTTAGACTACAAACAGGTTTTACACTTTAAGTAAGTATTGCAAAATGTGAATAACAAAAATGCACCTGACTTTATAAACTTTCATATTTAGTGTATCCTTTACTTATTTTTAAATACGACAATGAAACAATCTAAACAAAGCTGCTTAAATTAACATTATTGGACAAAGAACGGGAAGTGTCATTGACATATGGAAAATGAACAGTAAAAGGAGGTAAATCAATTAGAATTATTAGAACAATGACGCAAGTAGCCGACCACTTATCCAATCATAGAATATAAACAATTGTATTAATAAATTCTTATTGTGAATGATTAAATTATGATAATACGCCGTCTTCGTGTCACATTTATTTATCATAAACATGTCTGATGTCTAATGTCTTCTATTTATTAAGTAACATGCATGTAAAAAATAATGAATTCGATGCACTTCCAGTTTTGGAAATGTCAAATTTGTTAACACAAGTCGTTTGGTTTTTCATTAATTTATTTGTTGTCGGTGCTTTTGTTACCTATTTCATTTATCACTACACGAAAAGAGTAAGTAGCATAAGAGTACAGTATATGAGCCCCTGCCTGGCTTGAAAATAGTTGAGTACCTCGTTAAATAATCACGTGAGTAAGCCAAATATCATAATAATTTATTTAGTATGTCTCACGAAAGTTATAATATAAAAAAAACCTAGATTATAGACTGCTGAATTTATCTGCATTAGTTTTACACAAACTACAGAGTCATTACGTGTCATATTTTAGTTGTTTTGTGTATATACATGCCCGACCCGGGAATCGAACCCGAGACCCCTTGACCGGCAGTCGCACTTGCGACCACTCGGCCAGGCGGCACAAAGATATATTTATTTCAAAACCATTAGGGCATCTCATAATATGCAATTTTAAAATTGTAAGAAGTAGTCAGTCAATAAGAAGTAGACTTCTTACTATCCCATTGGATAGATTATTATTTTTTTTAATATTTGTTATACACAATTTAATAAATTGGTGACATATGAATACTGAAATGTACTAGAAACTAGCTCGAAGGTATAAAGGATTACGACGTGTCCCGTTGACATATTTAACACCTTTGTTATGTTCTATAGTGTTAGCTATTAATTAGAGAAGTTGACAGTTTTATTTCAAGAAACAAAGCACTTTGAAAGATAGTTTTAGTACGTTATGAAGTAGGATTTAATATATCTGTGTTAGTTCCACGGGGACATGATTATAAACGTCATGTTAGTAATAATATTTTGAAAATCAATCATGGTATATTAAGCATTATTATTAAAAATTTGGGACGCGATTCATGTCCTTTGCCTAAGATGTCAGCTGACAGTCAAATAAAGTAAAAAATGTATTATGTAAATTGTTCCTCTAATTTAAAGTCAGCACTTAGTAGCTGACGGCCACAGACACATTAAGTAATAGCTGAATGATTTAAGGTCGTCCCACTTTTAAAAAACACCGCTCCGGCGCGATGCCGGCGCGGTGACCGCGCGCTTCCAACTAGCGTGCGGCGCGTGACCGGCGCGGCGTCGTCGCTGTGGCCACGCGCTTCCAACTCAATAGTATTAAGATTTGAAAATCCAAGAAAATTTATAGTGATATCATGTCAAAATCTGTCTCATAATATTAGCTTAGAATTTTTTTTTAGGAATAAATCATCGAATGACTGCTCCCGATTGGGTGAGGTAGAAGGGAGTGTTACTAGTGTTAGACTCTTAATGACTAAAAACCACCTCGTTCCTACTCTTGCACTTCGAGCCGAACCCCGGTCACCCATTAGGTTCTCTGCGACAATATTAGCTATAGACTAGCGGCCCGTCTTAGCTTCACATGGGTGAACATTGGTTTTTATTCTTTTACATTTTTTTAATTCAAATAGTGTAAAACCATTCAGTAAATGACCAGTACAAATTAAACATAGTTTTTATTGTTAGGTCGAAATAGCAATACAGTCGAAGAGTCTCTCTTTCAGCTCACCCGGGCAGCAAAAGCCATTGGATGATTTTTCCCCCGTCGAAAAGGCATAATTAATGGAAAATATGTTTATGTAATGGCTTATTGACCGGTTAGTGGTTACACTCACACATTTACACGAACGGGGAATAACCGCCGAGACCATGTTTTGCTCTTATTTATAAACCCGATCGAACTTTACTTTTACTCTTTTATTTTAGTCCAAACATGATTTTGACCTCAAGCAAGTAATAAATACAAATTAAAGTTTATTGAGCGAAGGTATCTAAAAAATGCTATAAAGGCCGATCTGCCCTTGACCGTACGTAATGTCCATTTTATCACATTTGGTATTTTATTGAGGAATCTTTGGGGGCAATTTTCTAGATTTAATACCATTTAATATTTTACGTCAACATCTTAAATATTCCTGAGATTAACGTGATAATATTGCCCTGGATTTATTAGGGCACACTCTGAAATATTGCTTAGGCCTGGATTGGAAACGCCGAGTGGTTTTTCCTGCCATAAAACATTTCCAAGACTGCTTAATTTTTCGTTTTTGCTAACATTAGTCATCCATTAGTCTTAAAACCTAAATCACGATGTTTTTATAAACGAAATAACTTTATAAAACCTGTTTTTCAAGTTTTATTTCCATAAAGTATCATTTTTAAAAGTTGCATTTTATTCTGACATTTATTGCTGATATTAATAAATTCTTTTGGAGCTAAAATACATATAATTGTAGATAACAGTTCACTAAAATGCATAACAGTAATATAATTTGCTATAAATCCACCAGTGTTCTTAATTTTCATGTCAGATATTCAGAAATCTATAAAAATTCAACACAATTTTTATTAATAATTTATATTACCTTATGTCCTCGTTACACATATGTAGGTATATAGGCTAATGAACGGACGAATGGATATTGTTATTAACAACGTGATTCGAAAACTAATTATCAATTGTTATTGTAATTAGGACTTCAACAAATATGGCAGCGATGGTTGGAATATATTAAGCCTACTTATAATTTATTGCAATGAGTTCGGCGCTCAATGTGAGAATAATACAAATGAGAACTGTTCTACTCATCTCCAAGTTTCTGACATAAAACCGTAAAAGGATTTTCGTAAAAAAACCATTAACCCTTCAAGTCTCTTATGCACGGTTTGTAGAGGTTATGCCTTCAACACTTACCTACTGACAGTTAAGGCCTAAGTATTGAAAATATGTCTCAGAAAGATCTAGTGCCAATAATAGCTCTGCACCAGACCGAATTTTATTCAACTGTCCTAATATATTGTAGGTACTTAAGTAGGTAACAGTGAAGAAATAGAAAGAAATTATACGGTGTTTAATACTCCATTCTACCTTCGCCATTAGAAGCTCATAATAAAAAGCCTTCACAATATTATTACCTGTTAATGGGTTGGGGAATATAGGTCTTTAGTTACGCAGACGATATTACACATCGTCATATGTCAACGTGAAAAGGGTTTTAATCTTAATAGTCGTGAAAATATCACATGAAATGCGAACAAAGTCATTAAATTAAGTGCTAGTGCATACTGAGTCCAAACGTTTATTTTAATGTCAGTTCTGAAATATAATAGTACATAAAATGTTTTCAGAAGAGGGTACGTGAATGTTAACCTTTATTTTATAGACATTAAGAATTTTATGAGGAACATAATTAATCTTAATTTTGTTTTTATTTACTAGTCGTTAATACTGAATATGAGGTACTGATTGGGATGGCATTGAAGTAGCTCAATAACCCTGTATCAACTTCTCTAAACTGGCTTCGTCATGCGAGTGATCTCGATAAGATTTATCCAATTGTAGAAGACTGCAGCAATATGAAAATCTTTTACCCATAACACTATTCCTACACAAAAAATCGGGATGATCTCAGTGCCAATCTCATCAAAAGCAGTTAAGCGGTTCAAGCATGTATATGCTACTAGCAAATTCACGTTACCATTTATGATATTAGGATTACGAAAAGAAGCGCTGAAAAGAAGTATTTCATAAGGAAAAGTTCCCAAAAATAAATTATTTTGCATTTTCATCGGCGTTTGTGGTAATACCACACAGCCTCTTTTTATTATTTACTTAAAATATACAAGATTCCATGCGGAACTCTCGCGTTATGTACTTAATGTAGGTGTATATAGGGTCCTCGATTTTATTATTGCCAACGCGGAATTTTGGGTTCAGACGTGGCATTTAATTTAAATGGATCTGTTTTTTATGTGTCTGAATCTATTTATAGCCTGTCTGAGATAGTATTTCCATTCAACTTTGGTTTTAAGGGCTACGTAATGTGTATGATCGAGTTTACTATATTGTTATTCTGAAAGATGTTAATATGTAAAAGTTAGGCAACTTTTATTTGAAAATGTCATGTATTTTTTCTCCCTTTTTAACTTATACTTGAATATAATATCAAATGTTTTGAACAAATCATCACAATAACACTCTCCTATATATATATTTCCTGATCGTGTATTATGTTGAATATAAACAATTTCTGCTCGATTAGACACAAAATGGATAACATAATGGAAGGTCGACACATAATGTATTTCATCCTTCATGTTATTTTCATTCATATTGACGTGCATACAGTCATACATGCCACATCTGCATTTTATATTTAGACAATAAAGAACTCCGATATTTATGACATTATACTTATGACATTTAACTTCCAGAAATGTTTGTTTCGATTATGTTGTTTCCGGATGTTTTGTTATTTATTTATTCTAATTACGTCAACAAATAATAATTATGAATAATAATGGAATAGGTATAATTAATAAAATATGCATTTCAATTTAAGTTCGTCATCATAATCATGATTATATTTTTATTTATTTATTATTCCCGAAGTCTGATGGTGGCATTAAATTAAAATTATATTGTTTGTGTGTGCAGTGTTACAACGGGCGCGACCTACCAACCGTTAACGAGTCCCCAAGCGGGAATGGACACTGGGCTCGAGCGTGGCGATTACGTATCCACGACCCCTCCGACTCCGTCGACTCCCCTCGAAGTATCTCCAACTCCAGTCTTCGTGAGGTCGACGACGAGCTCACTGGAGAAGAGCTGGCCACCTACATGTACCACGTGAACTGTAATATCGGTGGACTCACCTGAGACACGTCTGTGTAAACCACAGTGACCACGACACGCTCCCGAGCACGACTACAAGTGACTCTAGGACAGTCTAAAGTGTTAACTATTTTATAAACGTTTCGATGTGATTTCAAAATTTTACATAAAATATTGTTGTCCATTGTTAGATACGGCTTTGTTAATGTTTAAATTTTAACGTGCACTTAAACATCCATTTTGGTGTTGAGTGCTAATCTATGTTCACTCGAACATAATGTGAAAATAACAAATACATATTGTCCTTGAGAATCTATATGTATAGTGGACGAAGTCGCCGTAATAACTTTCTATCAAGGGATTGAGGGCGTGTTCCTACCTTTCCATATAATTCCGGAGACTTGCCCACTGTGTCATAAAGCTGTAATCTTTGGCACGCACTACCCATTATTCATTCTTGATCTATTAATTACGCAAGGGTGACACTTCACCTTACATTCTAGTTAGCTCCATAAATCTTCAATCTATTCCCAAAAGGATGGACATTGATTTCATATGAAGACATCTGAGGAGTATTAATGTTTATAATATCGATCAAAATTGTCAGTGATTTATATTTATTATCGAACAAATTGATAATAGTATAAACCGATATATAGTTAGGTGTAAAGCTAAGTAAATAATACTCTACTGATAATATTAAGTATGGTGGTTGTAAAAGTATGTGCTAAGCACAATATATTAGCATAGATCGTTGAGTGTGGAGCGTGGGTAGATCGAACTGAGAGCTGTGTTTAGTACGGAAAGTACTCCGATAAATTATATATGTGTTAAGCTGCGAAAAGTGAGAATTCGTGATGTTAAATGTACCGTTGTTTCCCGCCCGAATCTGTTGGGGTCGAGCCATACATCACTGAATCGTATCAAGGACGTTGGAGGAACTTTATTCGAGTCTGTGACAGTATCACCACGATGTACGTCTGTGATTCAGTTCGGCGTGTGTCACCCCCTCGTGTAATTCACGACACGGTAGTGTCTATATTTGATGAGACTGTAAACGGCGGTTATATACTAATCCGTGAAACCTAAGCTAGGAGTGTATGTACTTACTTAAGAGATTAAAATAATTATACATGGTCAATCAAGTGTAAGCGTATACTTTAAACAATAATTTGCTATGTATACAAATCAGACTGTAAGTAAAGTATACTGAGAATAAATGGAACATAAGACCCTAAGTGACTTGGATTATAATATAAATTGTAGAAAGATGTCCAAAGAGTGATGTTATTAATTTTGACAATACTCTTGAAGTTTTAACCGAATCATTTTGCGTGATTATGTTTTAACAATGTAATGTGTCATTATTTGAATGTTTGGGCATTGAAAGGCTTTGGCTGTGTATTTCATTAGATTTAATAAAATGTAACATTAAGAAAATGTAAAAATGACTGTAAATTATGCATCGATGTTTCGTAATGTTTGATTTTTATAAAAACGAAAAGAAAAATGTGATATAAATCAGTTGTTGGACAAAGGGGTTAAAAATTATTTGAAATTGTCTAAATTACTTATGTTCCAAAGATTTTTTGTTTATTTTGAGAATACTCGTGAAGGTTTCTTTTATAGATTTTCAGTTTGTGACCTTAGACGGTTTAGATTAAGACTCATTTTATTTTGTGATCAAATAATATTGTGTTTAGAAATCTGTTTCCTATCAGATGTCAATGTACTCGTGTCACATTAAATGGTTTAGTATGGTAATTAATATCATTGTTAAAGGTAGATTTAAGTAATTGTTGTTGTAAAATATCTTAACGAGTGATCTATTTTGATTATTGTAATGTCAATGAATTAAAAGGAATCTCCAACTCATTTAACTTGTTTCTCTTTTTAGTATTCCTTGATAGTCGAGGCTAACTTCAAACCGTTACATTTTTCACAAAGACTAGACAGTTGTACTCTCTAATAAACCTGAAGCATTTAACATAGTGAATGCCGTTGAAACCACATGTTGACCGACCGACGCCGACGGTGGAACGACGATACCACAGCATAGTTTCTCAAAAAAATTCGTCGGCAATTAAACTGAGATCTTTGCTAACCCACCTATCAAATGTGGAAATTAACCAAATCTGTATAGTTATGTACCTAAGTGCTTTACGTGGCCTATCTTTATCATAAAACCTCATGAGGAGACTTGGACTTCATATATAAAAAAATTTTAAGTCTCGAATCATTGAGTACTTTATGCCCAATTTCTTTTTATCATCCACTTTAATCCATTGACTGCCTCGTTGGCCGAGTGGTCGCAAGTGCAACTGCCGGGTAAGGGGTCTCGGGTTCGATTCCCGGGTCGGGCAAAATATTACTGGGTTTTTAAAAAAAATGTCAGTAGTAGCACGGAGTTTGGAATCGTGCCCGGTTTATGGGAATAGGCTCACCCCCTATTACATGGGACTCATAACATAAATAGTGAAAAGTGGGTGTTATATTGAATGTGTGTATTTTTACTAACACTAGTTTAAGAACATTGTTACTAACAAATATGGACTAAGTCTGAAATAAAATTGATTATTATTATATTACAGTACAGTGGGACAGTGTTGACTGCACGGTTGGTGCGGTGGCTGGGCAACCGGCTGCCGTGCGACGTGTCGCGGGTTCGATTCCCGCACGGTACAACACTTTGTGTGATCCACAAATTGTTGTTTCGGGTCTGGGTGTCATTGTGTATGTGAACTTGTATGTTTGTAAACGCACCCATGACACAGGAGAAAATCCTACTATGGGGCAACGTTAAAAAAAACAAAAACAAAGTGTCATAGTGTGCACCTCTGCCTACCCCTTCGGGGATAAAAGGCGTGATGTTTATGATGATGATGATTTAATCTATTGATCACCAACCTTGTCCCAAAGACCAGCCTTTGTGACAAGGCGATAGGTTGCAAGGTTAGAAGCTACCACCCTAGTTGATCAATATCTGAGTAAGTTTTGCCATGCTGTGAAACAAATAACTCGATTAACTTCGTGCACTCGAATAAGTCAATAATACAATGTCAAACCATCCGAATGACAAAAGTGGATTTATTAAAAGCTTTGCTGGCTTTTTGCTTTCACCAGTATTCTGGGAAACAGATAAAGTTCCAAATAAAAACTTATTAAAGAATTATCTTTAATCAGTTTTTTAAACACATTTTAGAGATAGAAACCCCTGTATACATACAATAGGTAAAGGATCAAATAATGTATAGTTAAATAAGATTATAAATTTTTTGAAATGAAATCTTCTTTAGCGGAACTTTTTTTGAAATGGGTAAAAAATATTAAACTCTCGTCAGGACACGTAACTGATCGAAAATTCGTTAGTCGGATGGAGAGTAGACAGCTGGCGTGGCGTAGGACAGGGAGTATCCTCTTCTCTTTCTACGGCGCGGCGCGGCGGAAATGTATGCCTGCGCCGCGCCGGGCTGTTTCGTTTAGGCGGCACTGGGCGCTTGCGCAAATGTTTGTGTGTGTTTATGTGTTTAATTGAATTTTTAAATAATGAATTTGGTTTAACTATGTCAAATAATCGCCATCTTAGCACAACGAAATACAAAACTGCTATCGATGCGGACTTTATTAGACATTTAAATACCTAGGTTCGAATCAAAACTGTTCGTTTCTTACTTCAGCTATCATAAACCGATCGTATCAGTTTTAGAGATTGCCGATGATGGTTCTGGTAGTAATGATAGTGAAAAAGTCGTCGAAATTATGGATGGAAGTTGATTTTTCTGAGGGATATACTTTTTAATGTACCTAATATAGGTTGTCATGTTTGTGTATGACAGCGCAATAAATAAATATTGTATTCTACTACATAAAATATATTACTTTTATTCTGATAATTAAAGCTATTCGTATAAAACTATTCCATAACAATTCCAAAATATATAAAACGCATAACGTTAATACTTAAGTTTTCACTTCTGCCGGCACTCCCGGAGTGTAAACCATCGTTTTTTTTAAAGTAATGATGGAGTTTCTTACTCGTCTTCTCCATTCAAAAGTACACTATAGAACGAGCGACTACCTTCGCTAATAGACAGACGGACAGACAATTAAATTATTGACGTTTCAAAAGTGCCTAATTAAGTATTAATTGAAATAAATAACATAACATACCATAACATCACGCCTTTTATCCCTGTCTTCAGGATAAAAGGGATTATGCCACTGTACAATGTAACACCCACTTTTCGCTATTTATGTTATGAGTCCCATGTAGGTCTGCCCGGTATATGGCAATAGGCTCACCCCCTTCTACATGTGCCTCATAACATAACATAAATAGTGAAAAGTGAGTGTTACATTGTACAGTGTCATAATGTGCACCTCTGCCTATGTATGTATCCCCGAAGGGGTAGGCGGAGGCACAGGTAGTAGGAGGTGAGCCTATTGGCACAATACAACATATACCGGGCACAATTCCAGACTCCGTGCTACTACTGAGAATTTTTTTTAAAACCCAGTAATGCTTTGCCTGACTAAGTAAATGGGTATTCATGTTAACATAAATCTATTCGGCAAATGTTTGTAAAGTGAATTCGTTAGTGAAGAACACCTGCATCAAATTAATAAATAATTTGTTACAATTTATGGCTAACTATGGAAACAAGATTTAAATGAAAGATAAATTTGGAAAGACAATCATGAGCTGCCTGAATATGTCGTTCATTTGTACCATAATTACATATTGCAGTACAATTTTATCCACGTATTTACATATATGTATATTCTTTCAACAGTTATAAACACAACAATTTACAACAAGAATAGAACGCAGTGCTACAAGTGAATGCTCAACTACATGAAAAATGTTATCAACAAATCGTTTGCATCGAAATGTGCATTCCTTCGTCGGTCCGTGACGAGACATAATAAAGTCTACGAAAACAAAGAACCTAGTACTTGCATTCTTTGCATGTTTTAACTTAGGTACTTGATGTTCCTTACATTGTCTTGTATACACGGCAACACATGAAGCTATACACCAGTATAAACTGACTATTAAATGTACGAAATTATCATACTGAGCGAGACATTGGTATACTGGTCTTGTGCAGCTCGATGTCATTCAAGTACTTCTTTTGGCTTCTATTCAATTCCATTTCCTTGATTCTGTTTTTTTTGGATTGGACTGTTGGCTTATGTTTATATTTTCCTAATGGGTAAAGGATTTTTTCTTACTTGAAAGAAATTAATTGCAATTAAATTATAATTTTCTTATTACCGATTTTTTATGCATAAATGCTTTAAATTGCACTCGATATGCAGACCCAGATTTTTGACGTCGGTACCAAATGGGATTACTGCGACATCAAAGAGCATGGCTGGTAAGGATGGTCGGTCAATCCCACCTAGCGTATGGGAGCTACCTATTATTGACCTGACATTTGCCGGGATTAACTGTTATACCATATCTCTCGGACCAGTTCTCGATGGCTACCAGGTCATTGTTCATCTCCAAGACCGCATCAGAGAGCCTATCATTTGAGGTAACCTTCATATTTCCGCCTTAATTATTGAACTGATGTTAATATTTAGCTAAGATTCACGAATTTGTCTAGTCTTAATATGTTACTCAATCTAAGTTCAAGGTATTTAAATGATTTTTCAGTCCAATAGATTTTAATTAGTTCATACATAAGTAGGTAGTACACAAAAGTATTTCATTATTAAATTCTAGGTAGTATTCTCACTTCATTGAATTTCGAATAAAACAAATAGTTAAATGATTTTGTAAGCATGTCAAGTGGAGGATAAATAATTACGAAAGCAGTTCCTATATTGAAATTACTTGAAATCATGAATACAATTTCCAGTACTACCAGATAAACAAGTAAGTAATTTATCTAGGAAAATGTTTGATTCAGGTAACTTTGTGCGCAAATTGCGGATTAACACGGACTTTTGAATTTCTTATTAAATAAACGGATCATGAATACCAGCTCATGTCTGCAGGCGAATGAGATAAAAGAAACTATAATTAAAACTTTTCAAGAAAGGTAAATTTGAAATACCATAAGTTACAGTGTTTCAAGTTTCGAGATATCAATACAACATGTGTTACTTTGTATTACAGGATTATGTAAATTTTCAAGGTCAAAGCAGCGTGGGTCGTATTTTATTTACTCAGTCATAAACGATATAATATTATGTACACATTACACAGTAAAGTGGCGACGAACTGAGCTTCAGAAAAGACAAAGAGAAAGTAATTTACTTGCGATGTGTGCTTAAACTTGAGATGTAATGTAATTTTCTAATATATTTAACGTTTCCTTTTTCGTCAAATTTACTTAGACGACATCTTAGGGAAATTAAAGGTTTTA